GATACCTGGTGAATATGTGTACAAAAGGGAGAAGGGAACTTTCAGACTCAAGATACCAAGGTGAGACAAACAAAGTTTTTTTGGGGGAGAACGAGGGAAGTGGAAGACTAGAAAAGATAATCCATGGGCGTAAGCGTGATGGGTCATGGTGTTAGGCAAGACTGCCAATGCCGCGCCCAGAGGTGGTGTTGAGATGGGGTCGTGGAGGGGGAGAACAGAAGCTGTGGGTGATTACGGGGCAATTACGATTTGGTTGAAGCAGGTTTGCTGGATTGGAAATGATAGTCTCCATGCATGGCGGAATTCAGTTGGTTCAAAGATTTGCAGGACCCCACGCAAGGTGGCAATTCTCCCTATGGAAACACGCTGCAAGTTCCGGAACTTGCCGGTCCTTGGGTGCTGTCATGAACGAAACCTTGCGACCATAACGAGTGGCAAGTGCACACACAAGTGTTGCCATTCAGTAATACAAGTGGAGCGAATAATTACGCTATACATTGGATGACGGACATGGAAAAAAAGACACCAGTCTCTCATTAGTTCCTAACTATATGTAGGTGGAAGTGGCGGGACTCGGACTATCTTTCAATAGTAAGAATAAGTTTGGCGCTCTCCAGGGACCAGAACAACCTACTGCTTGCTCAGTGCAGCCCAGTTCCTTCGAAGAATCCCAAGCATGTAAATATCATGCCCCTTAGTCATAACCGCTCCAGGCTCTACACCCTCACACCACTCCATGTCTATATCCTCTTTGAGGTCCATTGGATATCGGCCCTCACCATCTTTTGCAGTCCAATCGAAGTCGACCAGTTTCGCGTTGTTCGTATCGCCCTCTATGATGATGTTACAGGCTTGGAGATCCCCATGAACAAAGCCATTTTCGTGCAGTAGCTCCACAGCTTGTTGAATTTGCTCAAAGTGTCGTTCGGAGTGCTGCCATTCATCCCCCATTTCACTAGCATTCGTACCGGCAACATGCTCCATGACCACGACCTGCATGCCGCCAGGCAGTCTCTCCAAATGAAGAAATCCTGGCGCGAGGTTCGCCTCTGCCAGTAGTTTGTGAGCATCAACGGCGTAGCTCGGCACAAATTTTGCGACTACAGGGAGAGTGGTGGAGCTTGCTGATTGGTCAATGAGTTCGGCTAAGAAGACTGCAGGGAAACTAAGCAGTTCATAGCACCGGAGGCCATAGGTACCGCCTCGCATGGAGAACGATAAAAAACACGGGAACTTGGGTGGCCCATGTGGGATGGTGTGTAGTGTTCTGTAGGACTCTTCAAGAACTTTCATGGCATGTACAAGTGCTCTAAAGACACGTGAAAGATACTCGAGTCTTTGAGAGTTCTTCCCTAAATCGAGCCATATGAATTCGGTGAGTGGCTCGACGACGGTCGACTCAAGGAGGACGCCGCCGGATATACACATCCATGGACCAGCTAGAGTCAGGATGAAACTCGGACAGCAACACATCCTTCGGATGCTAGAATCCTGTTGCAAACATTCAGCCTTCAGTTTTTTTCTTGCGAACAAGCTCACAATTTGTGATACGATATTTGAATATATGCTTCCATGAACCGACATTGCAACGTGGCTTGGCCTCACATCGGGGATGATGAGCGTAATAGCATTCTCCTCGACAAGCGACCCACCCTGATTTTGAGGGCATGGTGAAATAACAACATTTCCGGAGGACTTTCCATTTGTCGCAGCAATTGAGAAACCTTTTCCAATTATGGACTTGAGCGAGTCCATTATAGCTGCTGTGCGGTCATCATCCGAAACCTTGTCATTGAGCACGGCAGCGCTAAACAAACGGACTTTCCGATACATGTCGACAGGAAGAGCCCCAGAGGTATCTTGCAGTAAGTCGAGAAAAACGCCGAATCCCCAGCAATATGCCGAAATCGGGAGCGACATGTAGTTATGTACTTCTGGGGCACCACCTGAAGGAGGGATGGTATTTTGATCCGGTTGTGTTTCTGGCGATGCAGCCTGGGATTCCGCGGCGAATGACCCGTATAGGCTACCATCATCTTGCCAATCATTACCATCCCATCGAGAGACTGTGGCGGAGGTCGATCGACCTGGAATGGTATCCAAGTCAAAGTGATTCTCTTCGACTTTCTTTCGTTTGTGGGGGCGCCCGTGATTGGAAGATGCGGGGCTGCCCAGAAACTGCTTCGGTGCATATGGAGGGAGAACTCTGTCAGGCTCCTACACTATTATATCAAGACCCGACGGATGCAGCAGGCCCGGTGCCCTCCTGCAGAGGGCTTCATAATCGCTGTCTGAGATAGGAATAGCCATTTGTCTTACTCACTTACCACCGAGAAGGAACTTACCATCATCAAGACGATATTGCACTCTGACACCACCCTTCCAGTAGATGTATGAAAGCCACCCTGTGCCGATAGTCCATCCCATGGAAAACCTGCGTTCTGTACTGCTCGATATCTTCTGGAAGAATTGCTGTGATGTTGCACTTGCAACTGGAACCATAATGGACTCAACACTTGACGAAGTGGGGTCCGTCGACAATGGACTCACAAGAGTGCATCAGGCTGAAATATTCGGACCTCACACTACCGCTTTCACGGAACCTCACTTCGCAACTGAGCAACACTGAGTCTTCCGGTATCGGCATGCCCGACTGAGCCACCTGGACACAGGTAGTAAGTCGTGGATAGGGTCAGATCAAAGGTGGAAGAATGTAGGTAGTAGTAGTAGTAGCGCTGGGATAAGGCGCCAGCCGCAGCACACATAGCCATAGACAAATCTAAAGCATAGCCGTCGAAAGGGCAAGAACACAACCAGGGAAGCACGTGACACCATCTTCGAATATAGAAATCAGGTCCTTTCATGACGCCAAATTCGCGTCGCAACTGTTTGATCCCCAACTGAATCTCGCCATTCAAGAGGTCCTGTCTAAAAAGCAAATCGCTAACACAGGGCCCTTGGATTCCTCTGTATTTGAGACACTTTAGTCTCACTCAGCACCTTGCTCTCAACTCCAATCTTCAGTGTTGCACGGACATTGTCCCAAATGGTCACATGGTCCGAAATCCGAATGTCGGATTCAGTAGACGATGTTTTTCCCATGGTCTCATGGTCCGATCAAAATTGGAATTAAATTGCCAGCATGCACTTCAAGGCACTTACCGAAGACATGTGCAAGCGCTCTTTGGAGCTGGCACACGCATGCTGCATCAGGCAGGTATTGAGGGTCGGCAACCAAGGTTGTGACCGCCCACAGTTTTGTGGCTGTGCTGGCTATCCCAAAAATGGCGGGACGTTTTCCTCTGCACACAATGAAGATAGTATGCAAATAAACATAGGATGTTGTTTGTAGTGACCTATATTAGTGCACCTTAGGTTTGCTTTTTCTCAAATGCGCTTTATTGTCGAGATATGGGTGAGAATCAGTTGAAAAAACACTAAAGATGGAGTTAATTTGAAAATCGACACCCAACAATACCTAGGTAAGGGTGACAGAATAAACTTTTAATTCAGGCGCAGGGGCTTGAGACTATTAGATGAAAGAGAATTTTTGCTTCAAAGATTTGGGAGATTGAATGGAAGCGGAAGTTGCCGAAGTCATCAAGTGGGCGCTCTTCCTGCCCGGAATGCATTCACAACCCACACAGGAGGTTGGAAAGAGTATTGATATTATTATAGCATGGATTGAGGAATTTAAGGCCGTTCAGTTGACAGATGATGCGGGATGGGCAAGGAACCCAAAGACCACCATTGCACAACTGGAGCCGCAGTTGAGTGCATAAAGGCTCCAGGATCCTCTGGATTCTCTCAGCAGCCATACACCAAGAAATGGCGACAAGGCTAGGGAACTAGTACTAGCAAATGGGCACAGAAGAACGCGGGGAACAGTGGGGATATGGCAAAGGCCCAATGATAATGGCCGATTGATGCAAATCCATGAAGTAATTTACAAAATAATCAGCTTCCTAGATGTCCAGGGACCATAGCTATTTACTAATGGAAATGATAAGAGATCGGATGGAGTTTGAGCTGTGTGTTGAAACCTCAAGACACTCGCCATAATTCTGGCGAAAAATAGGTCACGTGTAGGCTGAAGCAGCCTCTATATATAGAGGCTGGGATCACTGTTGAATTGTGCAATTCATGTTCTTTACTGAATTGATAGAAAAGGGTCCTACGGTGTTATCCGAACCCCCTTTGAGGTCACGTTGAACAAGAGAGTCGGAGGGAGTCGGAGGAAGTTTGTATTCAATACTTCTTGAGGCGCATCCGACACTCTGATACAAGCCCGACACTAGGCTGAATAGCCCGACACATACCAGACCAGAATGGATTATGTGGCATCACATACTATAGACAGAGAAGATGCTTTTTTCAATCCATCTAATGAAAATATCGAAGCTGAATCCAAGATTCCAAAGCGAGGCCGACCAAAGCGCAGGTCCACTAGCAATCACATCCAACCTCTGACCCCATCCAAGATCCTTCGGACCGGCTCACCCCCATACCCCTTCACTTTCACTTCTACACCAATTCCACCACCACAGACACCACCCACCGTGCACCGCTTGCCCCGTTCACCGCACCGCCCAAAAGTCAGAAATTCCCCCACCACAACTCGTACTGTCCACATGTGCCAAGTTTGTGGAACTCCTAGAAGCCATATCGCGGTACCTGGCTCGAAGTGGCAGGAGAAGGTGTCAGAATTGGGCGGTGCAGGCCCCGTGCTCAGTGTGCTGGCTGATCGTGGTTTACTGCTTGGCGACTTCCTGATGCTGCTTTTTGACAAGAGAAACATGGCTTCCTTGAGTACTGCGCAGATAACCCAGATAAGTCGTTATCTGAAAGGACGATGCAAGAGTGGCAACACCCCACTCAAGTTAGTGCAAGCCATATACGAGCATCCATATGCACGTGAAAAGGGTGAAGGGGAACCAACCCATTACTTCCCGTTGCATGCATATCCTCTTGGGTTTGATGCCTGTCAGGACAGCAATGAAATGACGAATGGAATCACTTGTACTGAAGCACAAACTCCAACAACCTACTGGGGACTGCAGCGCTACTTCCTCAGCTGTACAGTTGAGCGGGTCACTTCTGAGGTTTCCCTGCTAGAGGCCGATCCCAGTGTTCAGTCTGTCCATGATGCAGGTCAGCTTAGTTGGGGCTCAGTTACGGACTTCTCCTTGTCTTCATTGCGTGATCGAGTATTAGCTCTTGCACCCATTACTTGGACACTCCTCACTACAATAGCAGCGGGAGGGGGGAAACACGTCACTTACCGAGAAACCTATAACAAGAACAAGAAAACGGGGAGGGGATCTAACCAAACACGCGACCCTTGGTTAGTAAGTATATCAGGTACAAGACACCGGTCTAGTCCCCAGCTCACCTTGCAATCATGCCAACAGGGTTGCACCGTCGCACTATGCATCCTGCTTTATTTCCACCACCTATATGCAAATGCATTCCAGTCCGTCATTGGCATATTGCTCTTCGCGACGAACACACAGCGCAACGTTCACACTATTCTCAGCCGGTTAGGACTCTCTACTGCCTATAGCACAACACTGCGACACCTACATGCTCTTGGAGATGCTGCTAGTAACAAGCTGAAGGATATCGGGCGTCAGTTTGTGGCACGCAAGGCCACATTTCATATTGTCTATGACAATTTGAACCAATACCACAAGAACTGGCGGCCCTCACTTGGGAAGGGTACTTCTCTGGAGAGTGGGACTGCAGCCACCCTCATCATACAGCAGGGCGTTGATGCGGCGGCTTTTGATGGAATAGAATATGAGCGGAGGAAGCGTGAAGTAAAGAAAAGGGATATCTCACATGAAAAGATGTGGAAGGATGTGGATCACGACCACTTGCAGCGTGCTTGCATAGTGCAGATCCTAAGAATCCTTGTGTGCCATGTCCCAGGAATAAAGCGGCGCTTCAGCGGCAACATTCAAGCACTGTGTGAAAAAACACTTGCCAAACGCCAGCTTCCGGTGTCGAAGACAGAGTACTACCCCTGCGAAACTTCAGGATATGATGAGGCAACGGTAAAAGGAAATCGTGACACACTTCGTGATTTGCTTTTTCGTCAGTTGGGAGTCACACCAGATGAGGTTGAAGGGCGCCTCGTACCTGTGTCTGGTGATCAAATGACCATTGCACGACTCAGAACCTTACGTGAACAGACAAGTTCAGCCAATACATGGCATATGGGAAACCGGTGGATACTCCCCCTCATCGAAATCTGGCACATGGGTTTGGCCATGATCAAAGGAATCTTCAAAATTCACTGGTGTGAGAACACAGTGAAGGGGGACTTTGGTCTACGGCACGCAAATGACCTCTTACGACGGAAATTGAATATCAATAAACTCGAATTTTACCCCGCAGAGCGACTTACGGACACAGTACTTGCAACTATGACGCTAAACTATTTTCGGTGAGTATGTTCCTTACAGGACACGATATATTGTTTACTCACTATTTGCGAAACAAAACAGGGCAATCCTACAACAGGAAGTTGACCTGTCAGCTGAACCCCAAAAGCGGTTGCATTTGACAGAAGAATTGGACTCATACACAGGTGATGGCCAAATCCTGTCAAAATGCCCCTTCGAATATCTATACGCCCTGGCAGAGAAGACATATGTCGCATTTGGAAGCACAAAATCAGCTTATATGGCGCTCCATCCAAATTCTGAACGGGCGTCGACTTACTTCCACCAATTCATTGATCCTGCAGCTAGCACACTCTCTGTAAACCCGGACGACGAGCCTCCACCAGGCAGCCAAAGAGGGGGCAACACTGGCGCTGATGGACTGGAGGAAGATGAGGAGTTTATTGAAGACATGTTGGCGGAGTGTGAAGGCAGTAGCCGAGCATCAATTTTGCTTGCATGTGACGATGAAACTCAGAATGATGCACCGGTTCTTGAAGCGCCACCTGAGGCTTCTTCTGGCGACATTCTGATGTTTAACAACATTATGCTTTGGCAGGACTTGCTGCACTACTCAGAATTCCGTGACAGTGTGAAGGAGGGCGATGTCGGACGCACATTTGAAGTGATCAAGGTGAATAATTCTCAATTGGTTGCGTATACATACTCAAAATTGGCTAGTGGCTTCGATTTTGGTTTTTTGGTGTAGGTGCGACGAACTATGGGCATGAATTACTCCATCAAATGCTGGACTTGTGGTTCCACTTCTCCCCTGCGACTCTCAATGCTGTGCTCGACAATTATTTTGTGAACACATCTGGTGAACGAAGGCGTTTTCATGCAAGAGATCTCCTCCAGGAGCATATAAACTGTTGGCTGAAGAGGGTCTTTAACAACCGTTTAGCTACATTTGGGTCATCCTTCATGCGCCAAACTATCGCTCTCAACATCCTTCATCTGACGAAACTCACCCGGACTCTTTCCAATTCTCTTGGACTTGCTGACCCATATTCTTTACATTCTTCTGCCAACATCACCGCTGACATCAATGTCCTTGGTTATCATTACGCCACTCATAGTCATCATATCTACATTGCTGGCCGCACACAGTCTTACCTGACTGTCGATGGTATCTCTCGTGGCAGTGAAAAATTAAGGAACGGCGTTCTCAAGAACTTTGTAGATGAGCACATAGAATTGCCCTATCGTACCTAAGCTAACTTTTTTTTAATGTATCATTATATATACGTTTTTCTGTTGGTTTGCTTTTTCTCTTTCCCTTGATTACCCCACATGCTGATATATCACTCTTAGGCTGAAGCGTTCTACCAATATCAGTCACGTCCTCACCCTCTACACCTGTGACCTGCATTGCACTATCAGCTTGTGGCTGGTTATTACAGTGCTCACTCCTTTCCTTCCCTTTCCCCTTTTTAGCCCTCTTCCGTTCCATTGTTGCTGCCGTCTCAACTGCTAGGATTTCCACCACAGCCTCCCAAAGGCTATTCAAGTGTGTCTGAGACATGTTCGGGTACGATATCCATCCAGCTGCGATGAGGTCAAATCGTTCACGGGTGCTTGCCACATGCATGCGCTCCGTCAATTTCTTCAATTCCTCGTCCATGATAATGAATGTCGGTGAGTAGCGGGGTTGGTCGTCATCTGCCCATGCTTCAATCCTCCAACTGTGTAACTTCCCCAATGCTGCTTTTCTAGAGTCAGCATCAAGGGATCCGTTTCGACTGCCAGGAAGTCGGCTGATTTGTGTAGGACGGGTGGACTTGGCATATGCAAGTGCCTGTAAGTATGAGCCGACCATCGCATAATGAGTTGTGAATGATTCAGGCTGACAGGTTTCGCAGCAGATTGGTGGTCGATGCGGGATTTCTTCGTAGTAGTGGCAGAGTGTTGTGCGTTGGCACCCTCCATCCTGAGGGTTAAAAAAATTCACCAAACCCTCCGGAGTTTTGGCTTGGTATGTGTCTCGAGCTTCAATCTGTTTTGCTGAGAGAAATTTTCGCCGCTTGCTCCCAGATTCCCCCATATATTCAAGATTGTCATCGTTCCCATTGCGTGAACCCCATTTCCGACATCGGATCCTGTCCTCTTCTGATACACGGACGATTTCTTGCGGTGCGTATACTATGAGAGCTCCCCCCTGACCCTGCCGACCTCCCCGACCTCCCCACTGTGTGAGCTCCTCAAATGACCGAGGGAGGTCTACACAGACAACAATGTCAACAGCCAAATTCACGCCAACATTGGCGCATATGGTGGCAACAACATAGCGAACTTTGCCACACTCTAGCTTGGCTATTGTCTCTCGGCGATCTTCATCGTCCAGGTTGGCATGGAATGGGCGAATAATATGAGAAGCAACAATGTCGCTTGGTAGGACTTCAGATAGCTCCTTTACTAACCAATGGTATAATTCCATTGTTTTTTTGATTGTTGAACAGGCAAACAAGGTGCGAGGAATTTCGGATGTACTATTTGGTGCATATGGAATGGCCCAGATAAGATCGGTGAAGTTTGGTGCGTCAACTGAGTGCTGAATTATGCGAGCACAATATTTGATATCTGGCCGATCAACTGGTAATCTTTCATCATGAAATGAGCCTGATTTATAGCCAAGTTCAATCTGTGTTTGTGTTCGTGATTTGTTGGTCAAAGAACCAGACATCGCCAGGAAAGGTATTGATGATTGGACTTGGAACCTTAGGTCATGTAGTTGCCGGTATGCGGGGCGGAAGTCCTTTCCCCATGAAAGCACTAAGTGTGCCTCGTCAATGGCAATCAATCCAACCGATGTACAGAATTGTTGATTTCCAAGCAATTTAAAGGATGAAGAAGCCATCATCTCTGGGCTGAGTGCGATAACGTCCCAGCTTCCAGATATCGCTTCCTTCCACAGATTACTGTTGATGGCAACAGTTTCAGAATTGATAGCAACAAATCGGATTCCCTTGCTGCGTGCATTTTGCTCCTGGTCAAGAACTCATTGTTAGTTCGGGCTTTCTTTCCCAACATGTCGGCTGACTCACCTGGTCAGCCATCAGGGAGACAGTTGGGTAAACTACTAATGCAATGTGAGGCTTCCGGAGGACTTGACGGGCAAGCATGGGAGCGAGTGTGAGCAAGGATTTTCCACTTCCAGTTTTTGCTGTCAGAAATACATCTATATTCTGGCATAAACGGATTGCATTCTCCACCTGCCAACGGTGGGGGTTGAAGCTGAACCAGTCTCTAATCAGCGCTTGCATCCAGGCATCTGAGAGAGGCTGGTATGCTCCGAGCCGTAACCTGAGCCTGTTGATTAAGACTTGGTAATGACTGCATGGAAGCATCCACCACTGATTTTGATTGTCCATTGCTCTTGTTTATGTTGGAGATACAATGACAGAGGTAATTAAGGAGGGCCACCAACAGAGCAAAGCGTGCCCGATGCTTCCCGACGTTGGCAAAATTCAATTGATATTTCATTCTCTCACGGTCATGCCTTTTCCCATGCCTGGTTGCCCCGTTCCCATGGACCCTTTTCAAACAATTCAGTCAAGAACATGAATTGCGCAATTCATGAGTGGTCCTTGCCTAGGTCACGTGGGGGTGAAGGTTTGCAACATATGTTGCCGAGCCTCACAGGTATGCCATCAGAACCACTCTTAGGCACCTTCAGATAGGGATCAAGACCCCACTGGATCCCGCTTAAACCCTGAGCTTTCATGTCAAATGGCCATCCCTTGGGAGGAGTATCACAGTTTTCACAATTTACAAGTTTCTCTGCTTTAAGACCTTTCGGCAGACTGTGATATTCAAGTTCCCTGTGAGTTTCACAGCACATATTGCTAGGTATCATGTTTATGGAAAACTCCAGCAGATAGCAAGCAGTAGTGTTAATATCTTTGATTTGGCGTCGGATGGTGAATGGGATCTCCATTGGTTCCAGGCAAAGGATAATTTGGCAGCTGAGATGGAGATTGAAGATTTAGTTACAAGGACATGTAATCAAGAATTAGATTCTAGTATAGCTGGCGTTGCGGGGTAAGTTGCAGCATAGTCCTATTGGTAAATCCGATAATGCCGGCTTACATCCGTACTTTGGACCTCCGAGACAATTGACCCAAGTCGGAAGCACCACGAGATTGCAAATGGTCTGATTCACTGTCTGATTGTGTCATGTGCAACACTGCCAATCTTAGATCCCACGTACCACGAATCGCCTAATTCACGATGTCGCACTCTTCCACTTGCCGAGGAAGTGACTCGTCGACTCTACCGCTGCACTAGACAATCAGCAGAGATCACTGCAACGCCTCCTCTGGTGTGTTGAGTGTTTCTAATGTGGTGTCTGGCTCTGGCTTATGTAAGTGTCTGTACGACTAACCCAAAGCGTGGGAGTAGTGGGCACTTGCCGTGTTAGGCGAGCCAGAGAGGCCGGGAAGCTGCATACATCACTGTGATTATCAACCTGCTATCTACATTTGTAGGCCGCACGCCCGCCCTGGCTACCTAAGCATCACCATGCACTTCTGTCGTGGCAGGCTCGGGCCCTTTCAGCCGCAGAACCCCTGGGCAATACTTCTCGACTACACATCTTCTTCACTCGTCTCTGAAACTCTGGAATACTCTCCGTGGTTATCACATATTACTTTTCTGCCAGCTGATATGTCTGCCAGTGGCGTACGTACAAAACCCTCACGCGCATGACATCCTAGGACTAACAGCCCTTCGCCAGCATCCGCAAGTATACGCTAATGGCCTTTTGTATCGGAGACGGATGTATTCACCGCTCAAACATTGAGTCCTTTCACAGCTGAGCTCAGTCCGGACTGTGAAAGACGCCCACACAGCAGATACTGATGACTTGAAACATGAATTTCAGAGAGGGGGAGATCACTGATCATTTCAGTAAGCGTCACGACTGTCGCTGCCGCCCCAGCAATATGCCACTCTTGTATCGAGCCCCAAAATTCCGGAGCAACACTTCTTGGATGATGGCGGAGAAAAACCAAGAGTTTTCTCGAAACCCCGTAATTGTCAAGAACTCAGTTCCAATACCCTACCTGTCACTTACCCAGGATAACTGATACTTTCGAGATTCTGCCATGGCGACATCGGGTTGGAGAGTTCAAGTTCTGCTTCCATTCGAATCTTTCCTCTCTCGTTGTCCTCATGATCAAACAAATCGTTGCGATGAGCGGAGATCCTAGCCTGTTAGGGGAAAACATCACTTGAAGGATGAATATCACCCACAGTACACCCTCGGCTTCTTTTGCAGGCGATTGGCCCCAATCTCCTGAGACGAAGTCTCGCATCGAAACCGCCTCCTCACGTCGACGATCCACACGAAGACAAATGTTTCCCATAGGACTGAAAATTTGGAATACAAAAAATCGATGGCGTATACCAGTAATTCTAGTATAACACTTGACCTATCGAACCCCAGCCCCGGGGTCTCGCAGCACGGTTTTGCAGAAAGTGCGCACAGAATAAAGTTGATCATCCAAGTACATATGCGAGAAAGTGTGGTCTGATGCAACACTTCCCATGAAAAATACACGCTGTAAAGGGACCAACGTAGCTGGCCCCGTACCTCTACCAGGCTGACGAAGATTCAGTAAGTCGCACTCGAAAGGAGCAAGGAAGTCGATTCTACTTCGACTGTGCCGCCATACCGCACGGAATCCCCAGGGTCAGTCTCGGAAGTCTGGTCGACTAAAGCGTTCAAGCTCGTTGCTGAAGCGCGTCTCTCACAGTCCTAACTGGACTCAGCTGTGAACGTACTCGGTGTTTGCGTGGCCCTGCGTTGTCATCAGAGTGTACTTTTGGATGCTGGCGAAGGGCTGTCAGTCCTGCAATGACATGCGCGTCAGGGTTTCACTCTTACGCCGCCGGTAGACGTAGCAAGATTACGTGGCGGTCACTGGCAATCGCGGAGAAAATTCCAGAGCCAGGGAAACAACTTTGGGGGGAGTATGTAGTCGAGAAGTACTGGACATGAATCTGCCACGACAGACCTTCATGATAAATTATCATAAGTGACCTGAGCCATACCCAGCCGTTCTTTCGAAGATCGGCCGCACTCCCACAATCAGACCAATAGTAGATCTGAGCACTCATTCATCCATCTGGACTACTTGGTTCAAGTTTACTACCAGACTACGTCAACCACCATGACCACAACCAGCGTACGTCCAATGTTTCTTCATGTCTAATGGAATAGGAAAGAAAGAGACGCGGCTCTGGCTGAAGGATGGCGTCAATCAACGGTGCTGATACACACAACAATTAAGACACCCATACAACGCCGAAAGGCAAGAGAGCAGCCTCAACAGAAAGGGGTTTGATATCCTCGTCTATCACAAAGTGCACACAAGTCCCGGCAAAAAGCTGGGGCCAAGGGAATGCTCCCAAATGTCACGGTATTGGATGGACGAGGTGCAGTGAAGTTGGTAGTTTGTTTGTTTGTTTTATTCTGAATATTTAACCATGCTGCTGCTCCAAGGGCAGGGTTCTCGGAATATTTTCAAGTTACTAATATGCAAGGATTGGCCCGGAAAATCAAATCTAGGGCCTGGCCCACATTGAACGGAGCAGGCGTTATATTTATCCTCTCGTCATTCGACTTGGAGTGCTGCATTTTCCTTTTCTTTTACTTTTCAGATAATCCGTTTGTTCGAGGAAAACTGTGCTCGCCTTCTTAATAATTTTACCATGGACGGTTGCACCTATTAGCCCCCGCATGTGCAGCGTGATCTTACCTACCCGGGGCCACCGATCTGACAATTAGCTACCACGAGTAGACTTGACTCAGTCTTGAATTATGTAGACGACATGATATGATTACGAATGAATTGGACTAATTCGAACGGGGACTGTTTAGGACAGGTGATTACATAGGCGAACATAAGATACAAGGCCCCTTCGAA